AGCAGGAAGAGATATGTAAGTAGAATTAAACCTGTTACAGAGGATGAACTGATTACAACAGAGTGGTGCTCTGGTAAGAGTTATGATTCTTAGATTATGATTCCAGTTTAATTTTGGAAACAACTATTAAGCTGAACTTTGAGCGCAATATTGTGACAACTGTTGATTGGAATAAGCTTTGTTAGTGTGAAGGGGGCAAGACATTCTCTCACAGCTTGGCAACTGGCTCTCTTGGATGCAGTGCCAGAGAAAAATAAAAATACCTCTGTGACAGATGCCTGCGTGAGGAATTCCCTTCCTGCCTTCTTCTGCCCCTGCTTTGTTATGGTGCTAAGTGGGAATTCAGTCCTCTGCCTGTCTGCTGCTGGCTGGCTGCACAGCCTTAAAACAGGGACTGCAAAGTGCAAGGTACTTGCTCCTGAGAGCTGTAGCAGAATGTGCAAGGCAGCCTGCCTGCTGCCACTGACCAGTTTGTGAAAGCCAGTGGTCTGGTGAGGGACAGGCCCAGAGAGTCTGGCTCAGATGGTGATGTGAGAATTTCTGAGTTGGATTTGTGTGGAGGAAAAGGTTAAGTGGATAATGTTTTGGAGAGGGGGTAGAGAGTAGGCATAAGCATGTTCTTCATTCAGGGATGTGTTGTGTGTTGCTGACAGGGATGGAAAAGCTTTGAGGAAGCCAGTCATTTAAAATGTTGGCCGTCCCTCGGTACTCGGAGCTCCTCACAATTAAAAGCATCTGTGATTCATACTGTTCAGTGAGTTATTTCAGCTCTGAAAAGCAAACTCTTATTTAAAATTTCAATCGGAGTACTAATCTCATTTGAATTTTGAGAGGAAGAGTCAGTTTTCAGCCTGCCTTATCTGAAAATCCAAAGCTGTTGAACTGCAGAATACAGGTAAAACAATTGTCTAGACATTAACTGTTATGAACAGGAAAAATAAAGCTACATTGTACAGGATGGTATGAACAGATCAAGTCATCCTGGCAGCAGAGGAGCAAATTTATCTAAGCCAGTGTTGACTATAACTCACTGGTGTTCACTGTAAGTCACGGCATTTTCTTTGTCCTTCTTCTAAGTGTCTACATTGGAATTCAGCAGACAGATTTTAAATCTTTTGTTTCTATCCAAAAGATTTGTTCAGACTCACATGGATGTCCAGAAAGCATCTAATACAGTCTTTGTTTTTCTTCCTATCTGTAAACAAGAAAATTACTTTTAAATAATGCAATTTTAAGAATCCTAAATGGAAAAGAAAAAAAAAGGCAATGAAAAACTTGTTTTTCTTTTGTGTATCTTAGGTTTTCAGACTTATTCTCCTCTCATTACAGCTTGGATAAATAACTTTTAGAATTAAAAAAAGTGTATATAAAATATTTAGTAATAGATGTGTTAGCTGTGTGAACCCTTAATTCTAATACATGTCTAATTTGTTTTCAAATACTGAATTGTACTGTCATTGAAAATAGTACCAGACCTATTTGAAAAAAAACTTCCAGAAAAAAAGCAATTTCTTTTGATGTGGTAAAATTGACTTTGTTCAATCAATAGTCATCCTGAAAAATTGTTCTGTCACAGAGTAATCATCACTGCTTAAACTGTAGATTAGAAAGTGGAATGAAATCCATGTTATTGGTACCTCACAAAATAGATGAGTGGTTGTCCTTGATTTGCCTCTTTTTTTTTTTAATAGTTATACGGGTTTTAAATGGACTGATTAATGTAAATGTGATATTGCAGAGCCAGAAGGAAGATTATACTATAACATAAGTATATTCTGCTTTGTATTACCTGAATACTGGGATAAATGAAAATTTTCAAGTCAGCATGGGTTGGTGGTTTGTTGGGGTTTTTTTTCTGTTATTGTTGTTCTTATTTAAATCAAGAGTGATCTTAGTTTTGATCTTAGCCAACTTTAATCCTGGTTGTGTTTGTCTGTACACTTCTTTAATCAAAGCTTCCTTCAAAGTAAAAATTGAAGGTTCCCTTACTTGCTGCAAACTATTTTTCTTCATTGCTTAAAGGCCTTGGTGAAATTGGCCACTGTCAGTGTCGATATGCAGCTGTGAAACATCTTTTACTATCATCTCGTATCCTGTGAAGAAAATGGAGCGTTTCAAGCAAAACAGGAGATAACGTAGTTACGTGAACATGTGGCAATGAGCAGGATGCTGTTGCCATCTATGAGCATTACTTAAATTCTTCAGTGATTTCTAATGGGGTTTGTGGAGGGTGTCTCATTTCTTTGTTTTATCTAAATGACTCTTGACTCAGGTCATTTTTTTGGTCTTTTTTTGCTGTAAAACTTTAAGTAAAGATTGGTTTCTTAATAATTACTTGTTTAATGTGTAAATTCCTATATAAATGATGCCTTTGACTGTAAAGTTTAACAGTAGCTATCCAGTGGTAGAATTCTTTCAAATACGTTTTTAAAATGTACCAGAGAACTTCTGTGTAAATAGTAATGGTAGTTATGGATCTTATGTTTTGTGTTGCTTCTATGGGTAAACAAAAAAGCTTTTTATTATGGGATGATTGTGTTTAGACTTTGCATTTACCGGTCTTAACGCATCACTGGGAGATAATAGCTTTATTGAATGCTGTCAGGTATTTCTGTTGTTGATTTATTGTAGTAGTAACAAAGTTCTAATTTATTTTTATTATTATTTTTTTTCCCTCCTTGCCAGACCTTAATTTATTTTGGATTAGGATTCCCATGGCATGTGAACTAGAAGATAATTTGAAATAGAAGGTCTCTCTTTATTTTGAAGTGACAGTCTTTATCAAAATGGTTGGAAAACTCAAACAGAACTTGCTATTGGCATGTCTGGTGATCAGCTCAGTGACAGTGTTTTATTTGGGCCAACACGCTATGGAGTGTCACCATCGAATAGAAGAACGCAGCCAGCCTGTGAGGATGGACAGTGTGAGAAGCACAATAAGAACTGCTTCAGATGTAAACGCAAACAAAACCTTTGCTTACAACAAAGACATGCCTTTAATATTTATTGGAGGAGTACCTCGAAGTGGCACTACCTTAATGCGTGCCATGCTTGATGCCCATCCGGATATTCGATGCGGGGAGGAGACAAGGGTGATCCCGCGAATTCTGGCAGTTAAGCAGATGTGGGCGAGATCAAGCAAAGAGAAGATCCGACTGGATGAAGCTGGAGTCACAGATGAGGTTCTGGACTCAGCCATGCAAGCATTTTTATTGGAAATCATTGTGAAACATGGAGAGCCTGCTCCATATTTGTGTAACAAAGATCCTTTTGCTTTAAAATCCTTAACTTATCTTGCTAGAATTTTCCCCAATGCCAAATTTCTTCTAATGGTACGGGATGGTCGTGCATCTGTGCATTCCATGATATCTAGAAAAGTCACAATAGCTGGGTTTGACCTTAACAGCTACAGGGACTGCTTGACCAAGTGGAATCGTGCTATAGAAACTATGTATAACCAGTGTATGGAGGTTGGTTTTGAAAGATGTATGCTGGTACATTACGAACAACTTGTATTGCATCCTGAAAGATGGATGAGAACTCTCTTAAAGTTTCTTCGCATCCCATGGAACCAAGCAGTGCTGCACCATGAAGAAATGATTGGCAAAGCAGGGGGTGTTTCTCTTTCAAAGTGAGTATGAGCATTCCTCCTTTACCTTCTGTTGTTCTAAGAGGTAAAATAGCATGTTTTGCATATTAAAAACTAGTCATAACTTGGTTTCAGTTTTTAAGTAGCTAATGATGTCTCAAGAAGCTGATTTATGATGCAAATTGTCTGGAAAGTAGGAATGATTGTTAACTAACAATTTGCAATCTCAATCTCGCTAAAAAGTTGTCCCACTAACATACGTGTATGGAGTGTATGAATGAACTTTTAATTAATGGTCACTCTAACTTCTATTTGGATGCCTAGTATCAGCCTTTCTTCCAATATAGCTTTGCTTTTCACTGTGCTCCAAAATAAAGCTAGACTGTTTTATCTAGACTGGTGTTTCTCATCCTAGCAAGATCACCTGTTTGATTTCAGGAACTTAAGTATTGTCAGTGCAAGAATGGCCTTCGAGTTATATTTGCCAAGAACATACTCTTCCAGGAAACTTGAGAAGCTGTTCCAACAAAATAGAAAGCAGAATTGGCGTGCTTTTCTGTTGGCATGTGCTCCTACAAGGACAAGTATTTTGAATAAAATTAACCTTGTAAGCAAATCTCTCTGTATTCCATCACGCCATCTGTGCACCTGACTTAGCCACTTCCAGAAACCAACATCCAGCTCTGCTTAGAAAACCTAGATAGGTATTGAGAAAGGGGGGGGGGGAAAGCTAGTTAATTTCCCACTTAAACTGCTGTTTTTGGTTTCTTGGCCGTTATTTGCAGCAGAGCTTGAGAGATATGGGAGCTGTCCAGTCTTTATGGGGGGTAAAGGTGTGAGTATTTGAATCTCTCTGCTTCCTTTTTTTCTTTCTATGACAGATACATCTACCAAATTGTCTTGTTTAAGTTTCTAAAATACTGACTAAAACACCTTATTCCAGCAGCAAGATGAGCCCAGTTAAATTCTTGGGCTTCTGTTTTTTGAGTATTCATCACTGGCCAAGTGCTTCTGAGTAACAGAGACACCCTGCACAGCAAGCAACGCGGGCTGAGTAGAGACATGTCAGACTGCTGAATACAGAGTGCTTTCATTTTTTTTAAAACTACACTTTTGAGAAATAAAAATCAGGGAATTTTGTTTGTTTAACTCCTAGGGATGTGACTGTATGGATTTTCTAATATATTGTAGGGGAATATGATTTAAAGCAAATCACAGAGTTATTAGTGGGTACAAAGATAACTTAAAACTCAGGTAATGGTTATAAATTTACAATCTGGAGGTTTTGCATCACCATTCCCATGGAAGAAACACAGCCGCCACCACTGTGTTTGCAGAGCTGTCAAGAGGGCATCTCAACTTCAGCTTTTTTTTGTGGTATTGTTCGTTAGCAGATTGCAGCTCTCTGATAGTGTTGGACTGGAGCACTGGACTGTTGTGTGGCTCTGCGCACTGTATCTGTGTGTGAATGTCTCTGTAGTCACCTCTGTCGTGTTACTGCTTCACAGTGGCAGCTGAGGGGGGAGTAAACTCACTTTTACTGATATAAATAGACAGATGCCAAGTTCTGTTAAGTGTCCTGTAAAAATAACTGTGTAATACCATTTCTAGTAAAATATTAGTATCTTGCTACTTCCAGATTAGCGTTTTTAAAAATTAATGGACCTCTGTACTATAAAACTCGGTACCTTACTGAATTCATATGGTTTCAAGTGATTTTTCTTGCTAAATCTGGTGGAGTGGGATGTGAGGAGTTGAGAATGCTTGTTCAAAAAAAAAAAAAAAAAGGGAAAGAAAAGCTAAGAAAATTGAGTGTTGAAAGTAAGATGTGGCTTCATTATTATTTTTTAAGAAAACTTTCAAATTTAAGACGAACAAATATAGAAATATTCTTGTGACCCTCAATTCAATCTGTTCACTGAATGCTTTATGCTTTTATTATCAGTCATGAGATATGTGAAAGTATTTTATTATTCTAGAAGGCTTTGGTAATAGTGGGAAAAGAATGGTTTATCAGTGTTATGTCTGTGGTGTTTATCTAATCAACTACTCTTGAAATATTTGTCGAGATTTGTTTTTCAGTTGCAAGAGACCTTTATGATTTGATAATGATTTCAGTGACTCAGTCTTTTGAGGGCTGCAGAAAAAACAATGAATATGAAATTCTCTAACTTGGATGTCTGTTTTGTGTATTTATATGATACTAATTGAAATTGTGCAAGGGGAGCTTGAGACTCCCCAATTTTATTTCCTTTTCCCAGTCAAAACCTCCTGCTTTGAGCATCCCCAGCTCCTCACTGCCCTCTCGTGTGCAATGGAGTGCTGTGGACAGGGACGGCTGCCTGCATAGGGGGTCCTTGCCCAGAGCAGGAGGTAACTGCCCAAAACAATTAGAGTCTGCCACAGACAGCTTATCGAATTTTGACAGCTGAACAAAATATACCTTGCATTAGACTTAATTTTCCTTCTATCAAGTTGCATTTGGCTCATTCTCAGCTGCAGCAAAACTCTTTATGGCTTCAGGTGTGCATGGCTGTGAAGTTCTGGGTCAGGTTCTAACCCATGTTGTTCTACAGGAGAGTGCTCTTTGCGTTGCAGAGTGAATACTGTCTTCTTCAGCTGAAACAACAGAGTCTGGAGCAGTGAAGCTCCATATTCTGACCAGCAGCTTTTTCCTACCTGACTAACCAAAGGGACAGGGCTGAAGATCACTTCAGAAAAAACCTAAGGACATTCAAAACACTGCTGTCTATTACAACACTTGTCTTCTCACAGAGCTTTAATTTACCCCATGCCTGGTACCAAGTGTTTCAGGCTGTTTTGCAATAGTATGTTAAAATCAGAACACTCAAATTGTATTACAGTTTTTACTGGCAAGAGGAGGATATCACAAATATCAAATAATCTGTATTGAAATGTGATGTTCATTTAAAAGACACCACAAGACAGGCCTAGCCTCTGTAGCATAGTAGGGAGAGTATGAAGATACAGATAAAATTAGTTCACTAGTTGTCTGCAAAGTATTGGGTAGAGTAGAAAACCTCTGAAGTCCAAGAATGAGCAAAGATTATAATCTGCAAATGTGGTGATATTGTGTAAAGACTTAAAATGAGCAAAGAAACCTGCCTCGGTCATCTTCCACTCACCTTTAAGGCAGGCTCAGTATCCCCTTCAGAGGCATGACGCTTGCTCAAGTCAGGTCCAACATTAGATGCCTGGATGTGTTTTAACTGTTGGAAGGTTTTTGAAAAGAAATGTAACAAGAGTCTGTTGTCTTGAAATATTAGAAAACACTTTGAGAAAGAGATCACAGTGTTGTTAAAAGATTTTTATAATGATGTTATTGCCCAGTTACAGAAAGTGGATGTTTACAAATATATTTTTAACTCATCAGAAATCAAAATCAACTGTGTCAAATGAAATCTGTATCAGATGAATGAGGCTCTAGGGCAGTGTAAGGTGTTTTCTTTTCAATTGTATATAGAGTTAAATTGCGTGTATAGGCTGTTTCTCTTCCAGAGATGAGCTAGCCACCCAGTGGCTTGCAGAATTCTTTAGGCAGCAAGCTGACTTCATTTTTCTCTTATTCCAGACTCAGAAACTCTTATGCAATAGTCTGTTAATAGCAATATTAGATATTAAACAGTCTGTATTTAAGATTCTGACTCCATATGTTCCCCTGGCTGCTTAATTTGAGGAAACTGTTGGCTGCCTTATTCTCTTCTCCTGCATTTGCTTTGTAATCCCTGATTTTCTGTTGCTCATGCAGCCCTAGCCTCACGGTTGTTCTATTTTACTTAGTATTTCTGTCCTTTGTTTTGGTTTTTATCCAGCTGCAAGAAGAAACACTGCAAGGGTTTTAAGGATGCGTGTCACAGAATTTGTAGTAGCGGGAAATCTTCTGTGGTTTGAAGTAATTGCCAACGTGGCTGTTGAAGGAATGTATTATGGCTGGACTACATGCTATAACTAGTATTGTTAATATAGCTCTGGCATTAGCCTCCTAACTGAAAACAGCTGTGGTGACCACTGATGCAAAAAAATGTCAACCCTTTTATAGCAACTTTTATTAGGCTTATTATGAAAAGAGCTGTCTGGGCAAAATTACTTCAGAATATACTATTTTTAATTCATACCTTTGACTTGATTCTAGTACAGATGTAGAAGTATTTCGGCTTAGTCCTGTGTTTTCATGCTACCAGCTGCTTTCAAAGCTGAAACTGTTCCTGTGGTTTTGCAGTGGAACCTGGAAGCACTGACCAGGTGGCATTTGCCGTATGCATATGTAATTAAATTTGCCAAGACTTGGTATGGTTCCTTGTTTTGCTCCATTTGTTTTTTTGTGTGTGTTTTCCCTCCTATCCCCTCTATCTTTCCCTGTATTCCCCAGATGTTCTTTGGTCTGAAGAATCCACACAAATTGTGTTTTACTTTTCTTCCCAGCTTAACTGAAAGGATAGAAAAGGATTTAAACACTTCTGTGGTATGGTATATTTTTGAATCAGTGCCTCAGAACAGCTAAATGTAGTTCTCTGCTTATCTCTTGCCAGTTATTAATCACCAGGAAATGTTTCATGCTGAGCTTATTGTTACTAAAGACTAAAATGACACTGGGGCAAAACATACACACTTTAAATGTGCTTTTAGTTCAGGATGAGATATTCATCTGTGTACTAATTTAGGTCCTAAATTGATGTATAGCACCCATTGTTTTGGGGTTCCAATAAGCTGTTAGTCAAACCCATTACCTGGTTCTCACAGTGTCACCCTTATTTTAAATGGGCAAATAAATCTACAGTTTTGATGAAGGGATTTTGAGCATGGCTGGCTTTGTCTGAGTGGGAGAGGATCATAAATCTTACCCTTCCCAAACATCTAGCAATAATTTTTTCTGAACTGGAGTGTTCCACTTACCATGGTTCTACAGACTCCTGACTCTTGTGCTTTCTCTTCTGCTTTGCAACTTTGAACTGCTGAAACTTGCCTATTAACAGCTATTTTCTTGCTAATTTGATGTGAAGTCAGATGCTCATCTTCTAATTAGAAGGATCAAAAAGGCAGTGCCCAGACTACTTAATTTACTGTGCAGACTTGTGATCTCGGGCCAATAGCCTTCAGGAAGGCTGAAACTGCTGCAACTCCCTGGTCCCAAAATCCCATTCCGAGTTCCTGTCTTCTGCTTGAGCTACTGAAAATGGATGAAGAGAGTAAGACTGGAAATTCTGGTGGTTGTCTTACAGTTTTTTTTGTTTGTCAGGTGCTTACTCATCAACTTCCATTAAACTCCTTTTGCAGCAATCCATGAAGGCCCAGCTTGCCAAGACAGTTTCCCCATGGGTGACCATTTCCCTGTCTGGTTTGTTCTTTGTTGATTGTATTTGAAGTACTTAAGTTACTGACCTTCCAGCATTGTATGACTTAACTTCCTTCCTCTGTCCTGGGAGAATTCTAGCTATGATGACAAGTAAAACAGAGTAACAAGGTAAAGACTGGTGTCAAGATCAAATAGAGTTAATGGCTGGCACACAGGCATGGATAGCTTGTAATTTAAGGCTTTCATGGCACAGTACAGGGTGGATCTGAATGGGATGCCTCTTGCTATTGATTTAATGTTTGTCTAGTGTACAACAATACTTCAGTCTCTTGGACTCATGAGGTTAATTAGATAACTAATCAAACTTGTTCCTCTTGTAAACTGATGTCAGTGTCAAGAGCAATTTGACTTTAGCTTAAGCTTCTGGTCTCAGAAATTATCGTGACTATTTTTCTCAGAAGATGTTTTCTCATATTTTGCTTACTGTGTAACTGAAGAATTAGGTGCTTGAGAATTCATTTGAATCTCAGTATTCTCATTCTTTATCTCGTGTAGATGAGGTACTGGTGTTATACTTTGTCCTGTTACTTTCAAGTATAACAATTTCATCTTCTGGCTGGTGGAGCTTTTTGAGATCAAAATTCTTTACGATGTAAATAAGGCCTGGGAAGGATGATAGCTGAAGTGGATGTGACGGCTGCATGCTCAGCGTCAGCTTTCGGGCAGGTATAGCCAGCCAGCCAGGAACTATTGATACAGTGGCATACCTTATGGTATGACTTCCAATGCAGATGTAAATATTCCTTTAGGCTTCTTGTATATTCAGATCTGATTTTTAATATGCCTTAAAAGAAAGATGAACTTTGACATCCAAAATGCATGTGCCCTTTTTTTCTGAGTTCAGAAGAAAGTTTGGAGAGTTTTAAATTACTCAGCCTGTTGTGAGTCCTGCTGGCTTGTTTCAGAAGTAAACACAGTGAAGAAGTTGTATGTCTTCTAATCTAAAAGAAACATGGAAAAACAAAATGATGCCAGAGTTTTCTTCCTTTAAAAAGAAATCAGCAAAAGCTAGGGTGCAAGAATGGAAGTGACTTTGGGATTGATTAACAACTAAATATTGTACATATGACTGTAATGATTATATACTTCTCTTTAAGAACTGTGTAATAACCAAACACTTGATCAGTAAAAGGAATGGTTACGAAAAATATTATTGCAGCCTGTGTCTTTCTGTCATTTCCATAGGTCTCATTTAAAAGAAAAAAAAAAAAGCTTAGCTGCAGTCCAAGGATAAATGGCACTTGGATTTTAACTTAGAATACAGCTTTTAAGAGCATTTAAGACAGTGAAACAGCAAATGTGGGAAACCAGCTTTATATGTAGGTGTGTGCATACTTTTCACTTAGAAGCTTTTTGGCTTTAACTGCTGTCTTTATGTAAAAAACTTGCTTTGGCACATTCTGTGTGAAAGCCTAAACCAAAAAGCAGGCATGAATGTTGTACTAGTTATTCTTATTTTAGCCTGATGTAGTAAAACTTCACTTCCCTTCAGCTCTGTAGAAACATGAAATTTTGAGAGAGAAAGAAGAAGGAAAAAACCCAACAAAACAAGCTAAAAGATTTAATGCTAGTGAAGAAAAAAGTATTGGTTGGAGTGCAAAATACAGCCTTTCTTTCTCTCTCCACAGAGTTGAAAGATCTACTGACCAAGTAATCAAGCCAGTCAATGTGGAAGCATTGTCAAAGTGGGTTGGGAAGATACCTGCTGATGTCCTGCAAGATATGCCAGTGATTGCACCCATGCTAGCAAAACTGGGCTATGATCCCTATGCCAATCCACCAAATTATGGAAAGCCAGATCAAAAAGTTGTGGAAAACACAAGGAGGGTAAGGCATTTTTGTGTGTTTAATTATTGACCGAATGGATGTGAGTTACAGAGCAGAGGTCTTGTGTTTTGGGGTTTTTTGTTTGGGTTTTTTTTTTTAAGTCTGTTTCTAATACCTTTTGATACTTAGCAATGTGTTTGCCTTGCCATGGGGAGAAGAAGGAAGAATTCTGTGGGATCTTGAGCACTTAAAGTCTGACTCCCTGCTGCTTGTCTTCAATTTTGTTTGTCGTCTTTTACCCCAACCCCAGGCTTGAGCTGTGTTCTTTGGTGTATGTAGCTGAACCTCTTGAGAATTGTCCAGATAGTTGGGGAACTAGTTAGTAGTGGAATAAACTAGCTTTCTTGCCTGGGCATCAAACTTGATTCATGAGCTCAGCTTTTTATACATGAGGGTTGGCAGAAGCTCTGTCACAAAATTACACCCCAGATACTTGGTAGAATTTGAAAAGTGACCTATGGAAAATGGCCTAAAATTATTAAAATGGCAGATTTTCCCAATTCTTTGCTGTCCTTTGTAGAACAAACAAAAGATGGAGGAAGGTCTGGTACTGATTAACCTAAACTTAAGGATTTCAGTCTGAATTTACTGTTGTTAGAATTTGAGTAGTTAGACTATACAGCTGTTTATCCCTGGAGGTATCCATTGAAAAGCTCATTACCATTGTTTGAAATAAGAATAATTAACTCTTTACTTCTGTTCTTTTGAGAATGTAGACTTTATTAAAAGAAGGCGACTTTTTGCTGCTGCAGCAAAGTAACAATTGGAAAATGTAAACAGACTGTCTTTCACTGTCCTTCCAATATTAAAACAAAACAAAAAAACCCCACCAAAAAACCAAAACCAACTGGTTGGTATGCTGATGGGCTAGAATACTAATGAAAAAACAAATCTTTTTGTGAAGTCTCTTTTTAGAGACTTGCATTATTTTTGCATTATTTTTGCATTATTTCTTTTTAGAAGCCCTCCCTGGGAAACTTTTATTAAACAATTGATCAGTGTATTAAAGGATGGCAGGTTAACTATTTTAATAGTTCTTAGCTCAGCATGGAAAAGATAACTCACATTTTCTGATAAGGAGTAGTGCTTAGCATTTAATAGGTTTCCTGGTACTTACTCCTTTAAAAGGCTCACAAACAAACTAACTTTTCTGCACTCAATTCAACCCCTTTAAAAAATAAATACTTATGCACCTACTTGTACATACTATAAAACATTGACTCAGATCCAAATTTGTATTGCAGTGCAGTAATTTACAGTTGGTTATCTCTTACTGATACAATTTAAATAAATTCTTACAATATGGTGACCTTTCTGAGGCCTCCACCTGTGCATGGCAAGCTCGGTCTGAGCTGTAAAAATTGTATGGATTTCAGTCACTTACTATTGAGTGGCTTCTTGAGATCTGTTTCAGTTCAAAAGGCAAGAGAGAAACTCAGGTAGTAAACAAAGCCACAAGCATACCTTTAAAAATTAAAGCCTAATTTAGAAGGCTAAAGTGTATTACAGCTTTTTCACAAGCTTGCTTTGAAGCATAATTAGTTTGTTCACTAATGTTAAAAACGGTCGTAAAAAAGTGGAGGTTACTGATCTAAATATTGCAAGCATATGGAACACTTGTTAATATTGACTGATATTTTAATTTAAGAGTTTTACTTACAGCCCAAGATGGCATTTTAATTTTGTTATTGTTTGTAGCACCCAGTATATATTTTCCTAGTCACTTGTCCTTTATCAGAATTACTTTTGCATATATGGTTTGTATGGATAAAAATGAGGGAGATGTCCTGAATTAAGACTGAAATCCAAAAAAGCAAAAGGAATAAAAATGGCTAACCTTTAAAACTTAACAATATTCCTTTTGAAAGTGGAGAAACATGAGGCTTTCAAAATGTCGTGTACCCCAAGGAGCCATTTAAAACTATGGCTCAAATCAGCGTTCCAGTTTTGCATTTGGACGGCTCGAATTCCCCCCCAGTCACTTTGCTTTGTTTCCTCCCAGCTGGTTCTTGCCGAATCCCTGCTCAGACCGTTGGGTTCTCTGTCTTTGTGACTGTGGAAACATCGATGTCCTGATTTCCTAGGGTTTCAAGATTTAAGGCTTCCCAATTCCCAGGCCAGTTTGCTTCTTAAGTGGCCTAATTCCGCAGGCTCATCCCGCTCTCTAGAAGTGCCAGGCTTCCAGACCATCGTGTATCTTGTATGGTAAATTGCCAGAACACTGGCCACTGAGCTTGGCCTTCAATCAAGTAAGTTTTGAAACAACTAATATTCTGTTTGGTGATCAGTGGAGCTGGCTCATTTCTGAAAAATGCTTTGTTTTCTTTTCCCCACAGCTTTTTTTTTTTAAATTATTTTTATTATTTTTTTTAAGATGGGAGACAGATATTTCAAAACACTTCAAGGTGTTTGGAGAAAGTGAGGGTGGTGGGGAAGAGAGAGAGAGAGAGGAAACTGTGATGTGTTAGCAGTTTTGCCCATCAGGGATAGCATATGCTGCCCTGTGGGTTTCCCCTTCTCTTCTGTGAACATATGATAACTTGTTTCATGCTACCACAGTTTGGAGAAGAGAGCATTTATTTAAAAAAAAAAAAAAAAAAAAAATATATATATATACACATATATATATTTACACACACACACACACTGATCTAGATTTTTCCAGCATTTAGGAACTGGCACTTGATGAGTTAAGTGTGTTATTGCATACTCTTAGCTGGTGAATTTGTAGATTACTGTAGCACTTCTTTTGTTCTTGCTCTGTTTGTAAATTTCTTCACCTGGGATAGTCTTTCATAGAGTTTTGTACTAGGTATATTGTTGGAGCCATCCAAATAAAATCTTTCCAAAGTTACTCTTCAGTACATAGCAAGAATATGTATAAATCTTTTATATGACAGTTTCTTGCTTCGCTTTGTGTTTGGAAGCTCTTCTATTATATTTATATTTGTGGTCTCCAAGAACTTTAAACTGAGCACAGAACTTGAATTTTATTCATTGAAAACAGATAAAATTTAGAATTTTAAAGCTGACCTGTATTGTGTTAGTATAGTAACCCCTTAGAGCAACTAATTTGAAGTAATGTTGAATTATCTGATACTGTCATGGTTTTTTAGTCCACTTAAAATGGTGTGAGCTAGCACTTCAGATGAAGTTGCCTCCTTCTGGCAAACAGAAAACAATAATAAAGGGGGAGGACTGATGTGGTGTGGTTTTTTTTCCTCTCTTTCTCTTTTTTTTGGTATGGGTTTGAGGCAGGGAGTTGTTCAGTTTTGGGGGGGTTATGTAATGCTGGCTTAAACTGTCAAGTTCCAACAACAGGGTGGAAGCCCAACACCAGTGAAATTACTGGCAAAGGAGCTTCTGGCTCCACCTAAAGATGGAACAACACTGTGTCATCTAGTGCATTGCTATCAGATACGTTAAAAAACAAACAAGTTCTTGTTGTTACAGAGAGTTCTTGTTTTGTATGATTCAAAGCATTTTTATGCTGCACATACAAAATCATAAAGAAAAGTGGAATGAAAATACTGAAAATTGGTCAGGATTCAACACACACTCATAGCTCAAAAGCCTCTTCTGAATGCGGACACTTCAGAATTTTATGGCTAGAAGTCTGTGTGTTGCCTAGTTGTAGAAGATAATTTAAAAAGATTCTAAACTTTAAACTCCATGGTGTCTGTTTTAAAACGTGCTTAAATGCTGCTTATAGAACTGCATTGATACTACACTGCGCCAACTGCACTGAGCAAAATCCATCACTCCTTGCAAAAAAGACTACAAATTAGACTTATACTCAACAGTGAAAATACTGTTCAGCAATTTCAAAGCTGCTGCTCTTAGTCCTGAAGGTAAGAACCAATAGTGTAAGGGTGCCTAAAAAAAAGGGCTACTACTGGAGGAAAATGGAAACGAATAGCTCATTTGGTGCAAAATACTAGCTTCCCCCAAGCTTTCTAAGCAGCCAAGTCCTGTTCCTGTTTTTCCTCCTTTTCTGTCCCCCTGCTGGTGACTTGCATATGTACAGGTTAAATATTTTATTTTCTTCAGTCTGGAAACAAAATCATTATTCTCAACAGCTAAAGTACAGTGCTTGAATTAGAATTTCTAAGTGCTTATAGGTGATGGAAGGAAAACAATGCTCTCTGCTAACTTTGGATTTTTTGCTGTAATGTTACCTGCTTAGGACACCAAAATGCTTGGGTTGGTTTTCTGTGCTCTTGTAATACAGCATAAAAATAAGATGCAACCAGTGTTTGTACTTTTGTCATTTTAATTCCAGTTTTGTTTTATGAATTAACAAAGCATGAAGCTAACTTCATCTTTTCTTAAACTGGTGTCCAGGTGCTACATGGTGTTACAAAATAAGACACCTCTGAGAGTATCTGCACTGGTAGAGTACAAATCTGACATGAGTATAACAGATTTTCCTGATGTTTTCAATAACAAAGCCATTAACTTTTTGTTTATCTGTTTTATGTTAGACCTGACAATATTATCTTTTATGACAGTTTATCTTGTCTCGCTTAAGGAATGCAGAGCAGAGAGAACAAGGTCTGAATAGTGTTGCATTATTCAGCACGTGTCTGCCTGTGACCTCGTCAAGAGGCAACCTTCAGTTATTCAGTGACTGCAGAATTGTGCTATCTGGTGTTTTTCTTCTAAGTCTGTTGCTGATCTGTTCATTTTATTAGAATGATGGCAAAGGTCCCTTCCTTATAAATACATAACTTATTACTTTTTCCCCTTCCTACAGTTTTAACAAATTCTACATCCTGAACATAAAGGAAAATAACATCCTCTAACTAAAAGGAGTTTTCATCTACAAATGATGCAGAAAATGCAAATAAATAAGCTGTCTGAACTGGTAGCCCAACCATTATATGCTGAATTACAAAAGTAGAATCACTCCACGTTAGAAGAGTGTCTGATATGTCCTTATCAATATTGTGAGTTTGTGTAAAAGTGTACGTCAGCAGTTCAACACAACACACCCAGAG